TTAAGAGACTAAATTTATAGTGAGCTTCTTCAATGTCACAAACTCTTCATGTGTACATGTGTCGAAGAAAAATAAGGATTATATGTGAGTATGCCGTATAGACTCACCTATCTAACGAAGATATAAATTTTGTTATACCCGGTGTATATATCGAAAAAAAGCAAATTCGAATGCTACTATGTTCTTTTTATTTGTGCGATAATTATTGTTCTAATACATTCGATATTTGACTTGCACTTTCTTGTGTGACTAATTGCTTATTTTTCATCAAGGTGTAAATATGCAGTCTATGTGACTGTTTCTCTCTCTCTTCTCTTTACATAGTAATTATAGCATAATGCACGTTATCTGCACGCTGCAAACAGATGGCTGGTTATGTGGGCTCTTTTATCTGATTGCTTGTTTGTTAATTGCGTGAAGGTAAAAAGACGGTGACATGTGCATCTTTATTTTTTTTTTTATCATGCATCAATGACCATTGAAGTAAGAGAGAGATAAAAACACATGTTCCTTGCATCTTTATTTAGTTTTTTTTAACTTTCATTTGGATTCGCTACCGGTGCATTCATTGATTCTTCCTCGACTCCAATTATTTGTCACCATTATCCAACGGTAACTATTTCTCAAATTGCACAGTTCATAGTATACATTATTCATTTGATATTTGTTCGCACTGGTGATTGACATCCTAGAGAACGTGTAAGGTTGAATTCGATTCTTGCGAATGAGAAGAAACCATTAGAACACAGACGAGTCGTTAATACAAATCTAAATCTTATTTTTTCAAACTCTCTTACGACATTCAGCTTCATAATGCGAATCTTTAGTCCTATATTTTTACGCACGTATGCTTCGCAAATCTTCCATAGCGAAAACTACTATGATTACATGTTCAAATACTATAAAAGATCAGTTCACAGTTAGTGAATCGAGACCGAAAATCAGAAAGGTGATTTTCTTAAAGATGCTTCAATAACAAAATCAGTTCATGAAGATAATTTGAGATACACGGCTCTGAGATCCGATCGATCCTTACGTAAGAGCCTGCATCCATGTGTGACAACAGGCTGAGAATTCTTTGTCTTGGACATCATAATATTCTCTGTAAACATGAGATGCAATGAAAACCAAGGCAGATCTGGAACCGGTAGAATTCTTTTAAATCGGACCGAACCGGCCGGTTTAAGATATCAACTAACCAACTACTTAAGTTTGACCAAAAGTTCTGGGAACATCAAATAAAAATATAAAGATAAAGAGATATTTTTAAATCTTGAAAATAAGCGCCGTTATTATCTATACTAAGTTTGATCCTTCTAACAACTTGTTAAAATTTTTCTTTTTGACTCCTTTTTCTGAAAGAATTTTTAGTTACCTTAGAAATCCCGTGAGCTAATCATATTTCATATGTCTGATCAATTTCAAGGATTTCTCTTAAAATTTAGTGAAACTTCCTGTAAGATCATGTCAGTTGCGTTCTAATACTACTGTTGATGAGATATAGATTTATTTTAGAGAAGTTAATCACAAGTCAATTAATTTTAGTTCATGAGTGAAAATGAAATCGTTAAAGACTATTGTTCATGGAGACAGATTTGAATCAAAACTTTATTTTGAATATTCTTTAAATCAAAAAGTTCTGTTCTTATACACAGGATAGATGAAGGTAAGACTGTAGATCACAAGTATTATATTGAACATTGTCTGACGCTTTCTGTTAATGAAATGTAGAAATAAACAGAGGCATCAGTTTAAAAAAGTATAAAATTGCCTGATGATCGTTGTTGACTTCATACTCATCTAATGGTACTAATTATTTGACAGAACAGGACATCAATGTAATGCCACATTCGCTGTATTCGGCAGACTTGATACTATGTAATCTTTGACTAAATTATTCTATCGAACGTAGTTTAACTAATTAAATAAATGAAACATGATCCACTCATACGGTTTCCAAGGTAGCTAAAAATTTTTTCAGAAAAAGGAGTCAAAAACACTTTCAACAAGTTGTTAGAAAGATCGAACTTAGTATAGATAATAACGGCAATTATTCTCAAGATTTGATCAAATAAAATCAAAAAAATATCTCTTTATCTTTATATTTTTATTTAATGTTTCCAGAACTTTTGGTCAATCCTAAGTATTTCTTTCAAGAAAAAGTTTATTATTACAGCTTCACGAAGACATAGAATATGTAAGTCTTTTAACCCTTGAAGTTTCTTATAGTAACAACTTTTATTCTAGTCTATAATGTTCGATATACACTAATACTAAGGATGAAGGAAGAACATTTTCAAAACTTTTTATTTAATGACTCAGAACAACTGATATTGAACAATATCAATGCTTTTTTTCTCTGACTTCGTGCAATAATATAAGTTGTTTACAAGAATTTTTAACATAACTGAAAGACTTCTCAATTCGTGCAAGGCTATGACTGCCGATAGGAAGACAATGAGCTACAACGTCCAATTTTTACACTAGATTTCGTATTTTTAGGTTTCTTAATATCCAGATGTTTTCATAGTTGCATGAGACTAGCATTTGGTATAACTTTCACCACAGAACAGGATCTTTTCTGATATTTTTGTAGTGAAAGCATGAGCTAAAATCTACTAACCATTGAGAGTTTCTGGCAGTCGATGAAATGTGGCCAAGGAAAGTGAACTCGAAACTTCCAGGTGAAAAGCTTTTATTTCAGACCGAATTTAACTTCTCATGGCTAACGCAAGTGGGGAATAAGTGTACTTCTGCACTTCATAAATACAGAGAAATACGAAAAAATACAGAAGTACGCTTGTTTTTCGCTTGCGGAAATACCATATTCTCTAACACGATACCAACAACATATCGACCATACTCTCTAAAAGAAAACCATATCCCAAGAAACCCTTAGAGGATTTAATTACTGTTCAATGTCGGGTATCGATCTTGCATACTGACTAAAGGTTTCCAAGAGTTCAGTCCTATTCCTCAGACTTGAAAGCACACATAAAGCAATAACTTATGCTTTCTTTCATGTACAGTACTTACAACTCCTTACATTCTCGTCTAAACTTCGGATGAAAATAACCCAAAAATCAGTTATTGAAAAATGGGAAGAAATTGATTTCCCACATAGCATTATTCATTGTCTTAAAATAGAAAAAAATATTAATCTTTCGATATTACCATCAAACTTACATTGTAAAAAGAATCATTCATGATCTAAAATAGAAACAAATCAAAGTATTAGTTTTTCGATGTGAACACGAGATTTAGTTTATAAAATCGTTGATTGTCGTAAAAAAAATAAAAGAAAATATCAGTTTTTTGGGAATAGACACAGATCACATCTTGAAATTCTTTAAGTGTCCGATCATTTAAAATAAAAGGATTTAGCCAAATTGACACTTCGTTTATTTTCCACGTGAATGAATTAGTAAAATTCGTGTAAGACAAGCATTCAAAATATTCTAGATCTTCTGGCATTGAGATATGCATTAATACATAACAATAATATCAAAAACGTCTAGCAATCTAGAAGTCTTCGTGGTTTATCGGATTGCATTACGAAAACTACGCTCATAGTGCACTTGTATAATCAAAAGCTAGCTGAATATTTCATACACAAATAAGAAGAAATAGATAAGATAGTGAAAAACACTCGAAAATAAGTACATCATGATAAATCTATACGCTGAAGGTTTAATCTTTGATTATTATTCGATTACTAAATAAAGTTAAGGAAAACCTCAAAGACTAGGACATTTCTAGAAATATGATTCATTGGTTTTCTTTCAGAACGATATACACATAGGGTGTGGGTGTAGTTCAAAGGAATAACATGAACCACACCCAAAAGAAGAGAGGAGAAACTACACCTAGAGAAAAAACGCTATGATTGGAGTGAGATAATACCAAATAGAGTATGACTTTTTCGGTTTTGGAGAGGATGTCATTCTTACTTGCTTCAAAGAATGGATGATTTACGATTGTCTAGTTGGAATCTACTGAAAAGTTACTAAAAAAAAAGAATAACAAATATTGAACAAAAACAATTCTTAAAAATGATTTAATAATTAAATTAAAAAAATCGGTTGAAATAGGAAATTCGAAGAGCATGAGGTGACGTTCGAAGAGACATCAGCATATAACATCGAAGTTAATAGATTCAGAAAACAAGTAAAGACAGGTTACAACCAAAAAAAAACTCAGTAAGTTTTAAAGTAAGGGAGCTAATTAAGAAAATAGAAGAAATAAAGGAGGAAGATTTCGATAAGGTGAAGAAGACAGCAGAATCAAGAGAAAAATTCTTGGCGGCACTTCTCTAAATTTGAGTCTATATATTGATTTCCATACGAGCAACTGAAACTCATTCTTTCCACTTCACGTCTTACAACCTGACCACATTACAATCTTTTTTTGAAAGTATCGAAAATTATAGTTTAATTTAATAAACTCCGTGAATTAAGAAGATAATAGTTCGAAAAAAATCGATGAAAAATTATATTTATTGTTCAGAGAAATCTAGAAACAGTATCATCCCTGTTTTCCCATGATAGATCCATCTTTTTGTTTTTCTTTATACATGTGTTTTTATCGTAAAATATAATTTAATGGATGTATTAAATTGTAATGAAGATATTTAATATAATGATCAATTCATAGATGAAGAGACATATCTTGTAGAAAAAAGAAAAGTTTGTGACATCTTCCTGAAGAATCTTTCATTATCTGAAAGCCCAAAAAGCCGACTCAGTAATTCAAAGCAGGACTTCCACAATCTCACGATCATAATTCGCCTACCCGTATCGCCACTTTATTAACAATTGTGTTACAGTTCGATCGTAATCGAATATATGTGTATTTTTCGAGTAGTTTTTCACCTTATTTTGATTCATTATTTTCTGGAAAAAAAACAAAATCGAATATATTGGATATAATACATTAAGTTTTTCTCATTTAATGTTTAATTTTTTTTTGATATTGTTTGAAATTTCATTTCATTAGAAGCCATGGCCTTGGTAGAAGATAACCGAGAAATAAATTTTGCATCAATACCAGAAGCAGTAGAAGATATTCGTAATGGAAAATATGTTATAGTAATGGATGATGAAAGTAGAGAAAATGAAGGAGATCTTATAATGGCAGCAAAATTTGCAACACCCGAAAAGGTTGCTTTCTTTGTCAATTATACTACTGGTATTCTTTGCGCTCCCATGTCATTAACTCGTGCAAATGAACTCCAACTTCCTATCATGGTTCATGCTGGAACAGATCCTAATCAAACTGCTTATACAATCACAACCGATTCTAAAGATACATCAACAGGAGTTAGTGCTTCTGATAGAACAATTACATTTAATCAATTGGCTGATCCAGCAAAAAAAGCATCCTCATTCCGTCGTCCAGGACATGTATTTCCTTTAATTGCAAGACCTGATGGTGTTTTAGAACGTAATGGTCATACAGAAGCTGCTGTCGATCTCTGTAAATTGGCTGGAGTTTTTCCAGTCGGAATCATTGGAGAGATTGTCAATAAGGATGGAACAATGAAAAGATTAAAAGATTGTGCTGTATTTGGAGAAAAATATGGAATTAAACTTATTACTATTGAAAATATGATTAGATATAGATTAGAACAACAAGATATTGTTGAAAAACCTACATCTATTATTCCCAAACTCATTCCTAAATCCACTACCAAAGATGTTGAGTTAGTTGCTCAATGTGAATTACCAATTACACTCCATGGAACAGATCTTGGCAATTGGACTTTAAAATGCTTCTATTGTCATATTGATGGCTGTCATCATATTTCTGTTGAGCGTGGAGATATTACAAGAGAACCTTATGATCCTGTTTTAACTCATGTTCATTCTGAATGTTTCACAGGAGATATTCTTGGATCTCGATATTGTGATTGTGGAGAACAATTATTCAAATCTTTGCAATTAATTGCTGCTCGCGGACGTGGTGTTCTTATTTATAATGTTGGACATGAAGGAAGAGGAATTGGACTTGCTAATAAAATCTTGGCTTATCATTTACAACAAATTAATAGTATGGATACTTACACTACTAATCAAACTTTAAGTTTTCAAGATGATGAGAGAAAATACGATGTTTCAAGAGCTATCATCAAAGCTTTAGGAATAGAAAAAGTTCAATTATTGACATCGAATCCAAAAAACTTATCAAACTTTTCTCATTTAGCTGTTTCTGTTCTTCCATTAGATGAAACTCTAAATGTTTACAATACTGCTGATTTGGATACAAAAAGACAGAAACATCGATTTCCTTCTCTCTCTCCTTTTGAGTCCGTTACTCCTGAATCGACTTCTCCAAAATCTGTTTCTCTTGCTTCTGAAATTTTTATCACACCTGCTAAGTTAGACAAATCTACTTATATTAAATTTCTTCCTATCAATCTTCCTGTTCCTTGCATATCCATTGAACTCAAAATTGGTATTGTTCGTACTTCTTGGAACGAATATTTAGTTGGTCTTCTCACCGAGAGAATTAGACAAAATCTTCTTGATGGAAAAATCCATTCTGATAATATTACTGAAGTTTTAGTTCCTAGATCATTTGAAATTCCTTCGACTGCGAAAATTCTTGCTCCTGAATGTGATGCTGTTATTTGTATTGGGTTATTAATCAAAGGAGAAACAATGCATTTTGAAATGGTTTCTCAATCTGTTGCTCAAGGATTGATGAATCTTCAACTTGAATCTGGTGTACCAATAATTAACTGTGTATTAAATTGTCTTACTGAAGGAGAAGCTGAAGCTAGATGCGGTCCTGATAGTCAGTTATATGGATCATTAGCTTCAACTGTAGTCTACGTGGCTGCTTTGAAGAAAGGATGGAAATCAAACTCAACCAATATAATCTGCCATTCTATTAGTCAATCTTGTGGAAACAACTAAAAAAAATTAAATCAAGAGACCAAAGCCTATGTGAAAAAAATTGATAAATTTAAAAAGTAATTTTGAAATATTTTTGTAAATAAACATTCGTTTTTCTTGCTCAACAACATTGATTCCCAATTCTTCGTAATAATTTTTCTATTTGTAACTCCGAACTTTCCTATTTTTAGTTTTTTGAATTTCTTCATTTCATATCTTCAGGACATGCCGATGAGATGTCTGACTTCTGAAAGATCATTGTAGACGAGAAATGGGATCAAAATAAAGGGTCAAAGAAAAGGTATGATGATTAGGGTGGAGTGAAAGGATAAAACGTTGAATCAAAAACTTATTAACTAATATGATTAACTGAATTCTTTTACACAATTCAGATATAGTACTATAAATCCAGAAGAGTTGTCAAAAGTGACGCCCACGAAAAAGCAAAGGGCATGATTATTTTTGATGAGTTTCCTTGAATTGGTTTTCAAAGATTTCTCAGTTTATTTTAAAATCTGAATTATTTACATATTTTTTGAAAATTATATTAGCCAAATCTCGAAGATAATGATTGGTCGTTCTCTTTAAACAACATTTTATAATGATGATTCTTATACAATGACAAACAAAACGAATATAATAAAGGTTTTCGATGGTATACAAAAACATAAAAAGAAAGTTTCGATCGATAAAGAAGCATTAAAAGCCGAAAACGAAGAACAAAGAATAAAGAAACTTCGAATCTAAAAATCAAAGCAAGAAGAAAGAGATGAAGTATTAGAACCATTAAAAAAGTGGGTGTGGGTGTGGTTGTGGACGTGAGTGAGTAGGTAGGGCGGTGTGCTGGGTGCCAGCCTGAGTGTGAGTCTTATCTTCACTCATACCCACACCACGACATTCATACTATCACACTTACAATCATTTACACCCACACTCAAACCTCATTGCTGCTTGGCAAAGTTGTATGAAAATGATGTGCGAAAGAGCGGTTTTTGAAATAAAAAAGAATTGAAATATAATTCGGATAACTTTAATTTGTTTAACCAAAAATTGATTAGTAATGATATGAATGTATGATATCAATTCATTGATAAACAACCTATATCAACTACTCAAGCAAAACATCAAACACAGGTTACATGCATGCATACTACGAAAAACGTTACATAGCTATAGTATAGCAAGTGTGCTATTTTTGCTTGTCACTGTGTGCAAGCATACAACAGATATAGATAAAGATATGTGTTATCTTTTTATGCTTCGTCGTTGTGTATATATGCTCTTTCTCATTCACTGAATCTATGTTTATTGTTAAGAATGGCACAAATTCTCGTTATGCATATGTGTAAGAGTTATAGGAAATGAAATAAACGAATAAATGGTTTTATTTTTTTATTGAAGTTCTTATCCTGTGTTGTTTTTTATTCCGGACATCAGCTATAATAAGTCCATGTGCACGATGGAACACAATAGGTGTTACTGTAGCTGGTGGTGTAAAAGGTAACTTATCTGATCAATTGGATGGGCCTGAAGGAATATTTGTATACAAGCCGCTGAACAGATTATATGTGGCTGACTTCAACAATCAACGTATTCAAATGTTCTTACTTAATCAATCATCGAGTACAGGTGTTACAGTAGCGTCAAATGTCACATTTCCTTCCAATGTCTATGTCGACGATGACGGAAATTCTGAGCCGACTGTCTATGTGGCACTTTATAAATCAGATCGCGTCAATCAATGGGTTAATGGATCAAAGGAAGCTGTACAAGTGGGTGGTGAATGCCGCTCATGCACAGGGATAGCAGTAGACAACGAGAAAAATGTCTATATGTCAGAACCGACTAGACATCGAGTGCTTAAATGGTCACGTCGGACAAATACTACAACAATTATTGCCGGTCAAACAGATCAATCGGGATCGATGAGTAACCAACTCCGTAGGCCTCAAGGTATTCATATTGATAGAACCCATGGGACACTATATGTGGCTGATTCAGATAATAATCGCGTGCAAAAATGGTTAAAAGATGCACAAGATGGCGTTACTCGAGCAGGATCAAGTTTGGGTGTTGCAGGCAACGATTCGGCATCATTCTCCGATCCAATTAGTGTTACAGTTGATGAAGTAACTTATATCTTATATGTAGCTGATTTTAATAATAGACGAATTCAACGTTGGCTACCGAATGCAACTGAAGGCGAAACTATTGCACAAGGATCAAGTATGTTCTCTGCTTCAAAAAGTTTAATTGGAGTATTTTCAAAGGAAAATTAAGATTACTTACGAGGAAAGGTCCCAAGATGATTAAAGTTGTTGACCTCATATTTTACCCAGTGGTAGGAGATCGGTAGATTACAACACCCTCCAAAGAGTTCATGCTGAGGTTAAGATTTGGCCGACATATTGAGTTTTTAATGGATTTTCCCTGTATGAACCCAATTTTTTGATAAGATCTTGTTGTCGAATTTTTATCTAAAAACTTTGCGCAGATGAAGGTCTCAATGAGAGTAGCTTATGCACAAAATTTCAGCAGTTTTCAATTGAATGTCTCTGAAATATGCGTTCCAAAAAATACGGTCCATACAGGGAAAATCCACTAAATATTCAATATCTTGGTCAAATCATAACGAACCCTTTGGATGATGTTCTAGTCTACCGATCTCCTATAACTAGGCAAAATATGGGATTAAACGCTTTTAGTCATCTAGAAACCTTTCCTCGTTAGTCAAGCTCTTCTTTTTGTTTTATCTAAATATAATTGATTGAGATCGATTATTTTCATTTCAATCACAAATGATGCTACTAAGAGTCAACAGTTGTCGATAGAGAATCAATTTCCATAAATCAATAAAATATATTTCTAGATGAAATGAAAAGAAAATAATTCCAATTTTGTTTTTTATCTTTTATTTAGATCATCCCAATGTCAACAATCAATTCTACGATCCGACTGACTTCGCATTTGATAGTCAAGGCAATCTCTATGTGTGTGACTATTTCAATAATCGAGTTCTTATGTTTCCTATAGACAATCGATCATGTAATCCATCATCGGCAGGTAATATTTGTTCTTGAGAATTATTTTTATTGATTCTTTTTTTTTTTGTATAGCAAGTTCATCGTTAAACAAGTAAGTTAGCGAAAGATATAACTCATACATGAAACAATAGATTTTCTAGGACAACAATAACTATGATCGCTTGCTCGATATTCATATGGATCATGGCGACTCTATTTTGTAATTATTCACAAGCTTTCTGACGATATTAATTAGACATGTTTCTATAGATCATTTTTTTTTGAACATGGATCATATCACATCAGTGAAAGTCTATTCAATTTTTGAGTTTATTTCGTTAATAATCAGTCTGTTGATTCTTCAATGATTAAATGGAGTAGTATTTTATACAGTTGTAAGATCATCTGCAAAAAAAAAAATGGCTTGCAATAGTTGTTTGTTCCCGTAGGATGATTATTTATTCTCATAATAGCTGTCAAGCGAAAGAGAAAAGCGTAAGATCATAACATTAAAATTTGTCACCAATGGCAAATTACAAATCATTTCAACGCTTTTTTTTGAACTTTGTTTCGAACGAGAAGATAATCATTGTTTTTTTCATTTTCCCAAAACAATAGCTGTATTGTTGTCATGCAAACTAATAATAAAGATGTCACACACTACGGATAGTTTAATAAGAGTCTTCACAACGAAGAAACTTAGAGAAGTATATTGAGTACATTCTTTCGAAAGACTTTGACAGGAACAAAACAAAAAAAGTAAAAACACTTAAAATCTTCGTAAGAATGCATCTAAGACTATTGCTCTCTGGTGTCTTCTTATTATCTCATCAATGTTCAGATCGAAAACTTTTCTTAGTACTTTTACTAGATTTGACTAAATATCTTCTAGAGAATATACTCTATTCTGGTTATTCAAAAAATAAAAAAATTGATTTTATTCGTTGTATGAATAGATGAGCTATTTCAACCAGAATAGTTTAATAGCAATCATTTTTATTCGATTTAAAATTTATTAAACTTCAAAACATGAATAGAAGTGTGAAAAGGATAAACCTATCATTCGAGCAACTACAAATACCAACAACATGCTGTTGAGTTTAGTTATACTAGACTGTTGTGCAATCAGTGGAATGCTGTTAGGATGTTTCTTAGTTTATTTTCACAAAAAAAATGGAGACAAAACGATGGAAGAAAAAACAAACAATCCATATATATATATATATGAATGACAAACATAGATAGAGGATAGAAGATGGTGAAGGATATTATGGGCGACAGATGGCATACTCTAACAATCGTTCCCACCACCAGAACAACAGGTGCGTCTGCACACTATAGATTTATCCATCTGAACGATCATGTTTGATTGCATTACGTTTTCTACAACAACGTTGAATTGCTTCTTATGATCGCTGCTTTTTTTTGATCAGCATGTATCAATTGTCTTTGAATAGCTTGAGATTTTGCATCAGTTAAGGATTTAGAAATTGAAATAGGGATAATATTGTTGGTGATATTAAGAAGTTCATCATTCACAATAGGTTCGCAATCATCCATCGTCGGATGATTACGATCAGTTGGGTCATTTTCGGCATGGAGGTGTTGAATATGTGGATCGAGTTGATCGCACAACCATCGATTTCGAATATGAACTAAAGGGTAGTAATAACAAGGCAGTCGGTGACTGCATGGTGAATTAAACGACAACGACAAGCCCGTTCCTGGATAAGTGTAGTATATCATTTTAGACCAATTAAATCGGAAGGTTTATATGTACCTAGTACAGGATCGAGTCCAACACCCCAAGGACTTAAAGTATAAGTATCATCCGGAAATATTTGGAAGGTTTTTTCAATTACGGTCGGGAGAGTTCAATCTTCGTTTGGATTTGGAAAAGGTTGACGAGGACATATGCAGAATGAATAATCGTACTGTTCATACACTGGTGATAGATTGAGATCATAATCAGCGGGATGAATCGAAATTGCATTTTCATCAATTAGCGGTACTGCGGATGGACAACAATCTCCTAAATTAGGGAAGATCCTGTTATACCACTCCCGAAATAACTGTTGAATATCGGTTGCAGAAAACAAATTGAAGGTGGCAAATGGTAATAATGTCGTCTGTACGTTGCTCCAAGCTTGTATCTCTTTAGTAGAATCGAAAATAGTTAAGAATAAACGAGAAATTTGATGAAATAAAAATGAGTGTGTACCGGGTAAATGCCAACAGTCAAAAAGCATAATAACCGATGTAGGTCCGACACATTCCATTTGAATTAACGCTGCCATATCAGATAGAGAGTCTCGTTTCGTGGCGATGGTAAATGTTTTTGATTGTTTAGCTTATTCAAGCCAATAATCCATCGTGGATTCGAATGTAAGATGATTAATACGATCAATTTTGTACGGTATATAGGATCGAAAAGGTGGATAAGTACTGAGTTGAATTGAATTGTCGGAATAGGGGTGTGTGAGTCTTATTTACATCCTACACCCACACCCACCCGCACCTACACCTACCCAATTAACCGCTAATTGCTGCCGAGTTAGAATGTTCAAGCACACGGGAAATCAATTATTTCGATTTGAATGCTCTTTTGGTTCATTACGGGGAAATCCATCTGTCGCCTCAATGAAAGGTTCTCTTTTTCTTGAGAATGCATGAATGCGTGCTGAAATGTGTAAAGATAATTATCGAGTTGTCAAAAGAATTCTACATCATCACTTCAAGTGAAATCTGAAGAAATATTGGCTCAATATTGCTAAATGGCAATATTCGGCCGTAAAAAGTTACCACATAATCTATCTCAGAGATTCACAGGACAGTACATTGAATTGATGTCTAGTTGGTATATACGATTAGCGTTTCTCAGTATACACACGATGCTAAAATGGCAAGCCAAAAGCTTGACAATCTCGATAAACCTCAAGGTGAGACTTGGAACTTTTTGCCAGTAATGTATATCTGTAAACGAGTTTTTTTTTTAAATTTTTTCCCCCTACTGCTACACTGCTACATCTGGGGACATTCAAACTGCTTAGTTATCACTTATGCATGTCAAAAGACAGAGTTTTAATGAATGTGTTTGAATAAAAATCATGTAGATACGTTTTTCACAGTTTAATTTTTTTCGTTCTAGCTTGATTAGTTTTTGCCATAATGATTGAAGTTCTTTCTAAGCCGTTATAAGATCACCTGTAACGGCAAGTATTTCGCCTGAGACATAAGAGGATGTCCTGCCAGACGCAAGAAATACGAATGCCGATGCCAATTCTCGAGGTTGTGCTGGACGTGTCATTGGAGGCTGAAAAGAAATAGTATTTCCGAGATTAACTTTCTCTTCTCAAAACTCGAGTATAACCAATTTTCAACTTTTTAACAAAAAAATCATCTCTGTCTTCTTAAATGAAATTATTTTTCTCACGTTTGATTGACAAATTGTCTCTTCCAAACTTACATCCGCTTCAAATTGGTTAATTGTTTCTTTAGAAAACTTGAAACTATGAGTGGTGTCCAAACAGGGCCAGGAGCAACACAGTTAACTCGAATACCTTTTTCCAACATTTTCATAGCGAGACCTTTAAATATGAACACAAAGATGAACCAGTTAAAGATATGATTAAATCAACTGACCCTTTGTAAAACCAACAATGGCAGCTTTGGTCGTGGCATAATCAAGAATTTCTGCCGATGGTTGGTAACTGAAAAGAGAAAAAATTTACTCGACAAATCAAAACAATTTGATTTAACAAGTCAATTAGGCATTGGACAGTCCTGAAAGAGAAAAAAAAACTTACGCTTGAATAGAACCAACATTAATAATGGATGAACCTTTGGGCATATAAGGGATGGCTAAGCGAGTTAGATCGAACATGGCAATAATATTCGTTTTGAATGTGTATAATACTCGATCATGACTCATACCTTCGATGGACTCGTTCTTCGAACAGAATAATTAGATTTAGATTTTGAAAATTTTAAAATAAACTTTACGAGACTTTTGCCTTGATAAGCTGCATTATTGACAAGAATATCGATACGTTTGAATCTCGTTACTGTTTCATTGATTATCTTCTAACATTGAGCTTTGTCAGTTATATCACCCGGCTGCACAAAAAGAAAAATACAATTCAAATGAATATCATTAAACGATAAGTAACTTACAATCAAAATACATTCGTGTCCCTCTTTCTGAATGACTGCTTGAATTTCTTCAGCATCTTCAGTCTCATTCAAATACGAAATGACAACGGTAGCACCTTCGCGAGCAAATGCTAAGACAACTGCTCGTCCGATTCCACTATCATCACCTGTAATGATAGCTATTTTGCCTTGAAGTTTGCCTGACCCATTGTATGATAAGTATTCATAATCGGGCTTGGGATCCATTTGACTTTCAAGACCAGGAGAATCTTGTGGATCAGAATTAAATGGAGGATGAGGACCAACCTAAGAAAAAAAGACAAAAGTAGAAATTAGGTGGTTTTTGAAAAGAAAAAAACAATCCGAACTATTCTAGGGTCGCCGTCGAAATCATATGGATCTGACAAGAGATCTGAAAAAAAAAATCAATATCAAATGATAGTTTTGATTATCGATTTCGGTCACAAAGAGGTAGAATTGAAGATCTTTCAACAAATGTGTGATCTTAAAACAATATGTGGAACTAGAAAAATTTTAACACTTTCAACTTTTCAATTTTTGAAAATTCTTTGAAGATAAGAAACGATGAGAAAACTCTTTGACATAGAAATATTTGTAATGAATAGGAAAAAAACATTCATCATAGGTAAATAAGATAATCATGTTTTTGTCTTGTGATTTGGTATGGTATTACTTACTCGTTCGAGGCAAAAAACGAATAATATTCACTCGTACACAACTATGCGAAACCTATCATTCATTTTATGTACGAAAGAAAAAAAAATTCAGAGTTTTCATTTGTCAAACTTGCAATATCAACCGAAAATCTTTCATGAAAACGAAATCTCTTGTTGTACAGTCTCACTTTTCTAGGAATACGTTTGACAATCCGGATATTACTAACCATCAATATCGAACCCAACCACCTCTTGTTGAACCACGAGATGTAGAATGATGCACAATACTAGCGTTAATAATCGAACAATATGCGCGTCCATTTTCATTGCTTACAAATATTCAATAGTATAATAAAAAAGAGAATGAAACGAATATTTATACATCTTTTTTTTTTGTTGTTGTGTATTCGAGGTAAAACAGTATAAGTATTTATCTACTGTTTTATGTACTTTTTACTTATTTTGTACTCAAAGACTCCTGTGTCATTGCACGTGTCTAACAATGAAAATGACGATTTGCAATGAGAAGACGAAGAAACACAGAACATACCATGATCATATACGAAAATAGGAACAACAAAAGAGATGAGTAGTTTTATTGCTATCTACTGTATTAATATCTATTAATATACATAATATCTTTACTTGTTTATCTATACTGCATAGCACACACAGTTACACAGATGGAGAAGAGAGAGATTATCAGTCATTAACGAAAGAGACGATAAGAAGAAGCATAAGACGAGAAAAGTGGTCGTTAGCATTGCAAAGAAGAAATGATAAAAAAAGAAAACTCTATGTGAAAGGATCAAAACTTTTTATAATTTCTTACTTGATGTTGAACTGAGATATATACGACTAAATTCGGATAATTATTATGAACAAGAATATGAATCTCTGTTCCATTGTCAGTAAAATCATCGATAAGAAAGATCAAAAAGAAAACAACACAGTACGCAATTGCGCAATACAATTCAGAATATAAATGACAGTGCATATTGTTTATATAATCTAAAGAGGGAAGGCTATAATGTCTTGATTATTTTGCTTTATAAACAGGGTTGCCAGATTAAAAACTTGAAAGTCAGAAATTTTTTTTCCAAAATCAGAAAACGATCAGAAATATTTTTGGCAAAATCTGAAATTAATCAGAAAGGGTACTTTTTTGCAAACTAGTGGCTATTGTGTTAACACGATGGAACAAAATGCTTTACTCAATTTCTGTTTATTGATTCATACTTTATTTTCAAGGATATTTCACAGTAAAGAAAGACACTCAAAAACGATACAGCAACAAATCACATATATAGTGTCCATGCTAAGAGCTCCAACAAAAGAAAAAATAAAGGTTAGATAACATCAGTCCGTTAGTTTTGTCCATGTTTCTCGTTTGTTAGAATTTGATTTGATAAATATCTTTGAGTTAAAAGATGGGGTGTGGATGTCGGTAGAGGGTGTGCGTGGGTAGGTACGGGTGTGAGTGCGACTGGAGATTTTCGCTTCGCACACATACGCCCTCATCCCACAGATTCACACCAGAGATGGGCAAGTTAGCGAGTTTTTGACTCAAGTCGAGTTAAGTCATATCTTAAAAATTCCAAGTCAAGTCAAGTCTTGAGGGTGTGAGTGTGAGGTGTGGGTGTGGATGGGTGTATCTGTGAATGTTGCTATGAAGAGAAGATCCACATGTCTACATCCGCACCCAACACCACACTCTCACCACAGCCACGCCCGAACACCCACCTATATCAATGTAACAATCAGACGAACTAACAACAAAAAAGAAGGATAAAAATGTTCACACAAAAAATAATCGATTCATATGCTTAATAATGATCTCAGTGTGCGATCGAAAGCTCGCAACTACATGTTTTTTTTTACCTGTTAAGTAAGTTATCAATAAATGATCTTCATAGCAGTTCTGTACTTCTTCTATTCTAATTTTAAACTCATTGCTTCCACCAATGACTCACTTAGTTATGAGGACAGTAGAAAAATAACGTTTCGAGCAATAGAATAGCGAAAGCACGATTTTTCTCTTTTCAAGAAGAAGAAAATATTGTATTCGTCGTGTGGGTATCTTTGCACATGAGGGGTGGTGTGGGTGTAGAAAAAGACACCCACATCCCCATTCAGCAGTGATGGAGTTCTAATGTACAAAAAGTACTGAAATAGTGTTCTCTCTTATGTTGATATCCTACTCACATAGAAACGAAACTGGGGAACAACCAATTTATAAGCCTATTTGAAAGACTTCTATTCATCTTTGTTTTTTCTATAGTGTCTGTTTGTCTACAAAGTGTTCCTTCTTGACTATGTTTATTTAATGGAGTAAAAACATCTCGTCTCATGTTGAGTAATGAAAATTCACCGTCAGTATCATCTGGGTGTGGGTATACGTGTGCATGTATGTGGGTGTACATGTGCAGTGTGCGTATAGGTGATTAAAATCATACCCACATCGTCTTCCACATTCACACCCACTTACACCCTTCCCACACCCCACATCCCACACCCACCCACACCCACACATCTACTAGAATAAAGGCATATTTCAATCTTGTTATGGCAAAAGGAAAAAGTAAGATTTAATTTAGTTTCGTGTAGGAGTAAAAACTATGATTGAATTGAGCAAACTATTAAATTAATCAAGTTGATAAAAAAAAAAGGTTTGTAAAAAATATTTCTGATGGCTACTACTTGTTGGGAAATATCTCAATCCTCTTTAAGAAAATGAAGTATAAATAAGATGAAAACATCCTTAGTATTCACCTGCGATTCACTGATCAATATTAATATCTTAAATTACATTGATATTTTTATTGAATAAAATAAATCTTTTTTTTAATACATTTCATCCTCTTGTATACAACATCCGCATTTGTCAATAGAGATTGATTCCTAATAGTCGTATACAAGTCAACTTTTCTTTCTTTCTCTTTCATTCAACAAATAAACTGTTTGTTTTACAATAGGATATTCATTTATTTTACATAAAAAGAAGAATAAATATAATCACTTTCTTTTATCAAAGGAAAATATTCTTGAAAAGATTTCGAAGATCTCCATTCACCACACGGCCATAAATTTTCTACTTTGGTACAATTCATTCGAGTATCTTCTCTTGTAAAATTTTCTGTTACTCTTAATAAAGAGTGATCAAGAATACGAAGAGAAATATTCTTTCGAAAACATGTTTTTGTATCACATAGAAATTCTTCAATATAATCATCACAAGCATATTCAATGTCAAGTTCAATAAGACGAGAATATTCAACGATTGATAAATGACAACTGTTATTCATTGATTTATAAGATTGTTGGTGTTGTTGTGATTTGCGATTAATTAACACTAATTTTTCTATAAATGGGAAAGATTGAACCAATTGAAGAAAAAATTCATGTTCAAAAGGATATTCATCATATAATGATACAATACGAACATATGGATAATATCCACCTGGAAATTGATTTGATATATATTGATAATATGATATTTGAGATGGATATGTATAAATATGACATTGGCATTCCTTTCTTTCTAGAAAATGATTCATATAAGATATTATTTGTGTATATTGAAAATCTTTGAATGTGTTTTGAATATCTTCTTTTGATGGTAAAATTATTTCATTATTAATATTCATCATCGAATGAATATCAAATGTAAATTGATTTAATCGTGACATATGATTAAGAATTTTATTTTTTAAATGATATCCATCAATCAATGTTTCTTCAACTGAAATTGAAAGAGATAGATTAAGTTTTTCTAAATTTGACATTCGATATAGTAATGGAAGAATCAATTTATCGTAATAGTCTATTGGCCCAACACAAGATAAGGAAAAACACATTAGACTTGGTACATCTCCCTAGAAATGAAAAATAAAAGTAGATTCAATTTATTTTCTACTAACAAAAACAAACTTTATTTTCAATTTCTCCTAATGAGCAAATGTCAGCTGATTCCACAATGAGTGTGTGAAGTTTATTGAAACGACCATCGAGAAAACATAAACATGTCTCAAAATGATTAATCTTAACATTCAATACCAAAAGAGTTGAAGAACAAAAATTGATCGGTGGATAAATAAATGGTAATCCAACCATATTTTGATATGATGATTGAGAAAATATTAAATGAGTTAACTTTTTAAACACATCAAATATATGATTGCATATATATTTCATTGTTAAATAATGCTTCAGATTCTGATTAGTATCAACTGTAATTAGAAGTCTGGTAATTTGATTTTTAAAAAGATCAGATGAAAGATTTACATCTAAATATAGAAATAATAATGTTAACAAATAATAATCATATTAATTTTAATCAATCGTTCATTTATTTCTTCCAATAACAATTCTATCTTGAGATTCTCTTACCAGTGAAAAGATTTTTAATTGTTTCTTCTTCGATATTGAATAGACCCAGTCCATATAAATTAGAATAATTAGCAGCACATAGTATTTGTTTCATAGATGATGATTCAATATCAAGCCATTGAATTTTCTCATGAATTGCTGGTAAAATTTGTAAACAAAATCGATCAAATATAATATCAGGAGAAAATATATTGAGAAATTTCTTTGAAGACCATTTCAAAAAATTCAAACGATTTGTAAAAATTGGATCTTGTAGAATTGAATTCAATCGTTCATTGACACCGAATAAAGAATAAAGAACTTCAACATTGTTCATTTGTTTGAAAATAAACATAAGAAGTTCATCAGGTAAATCATTCAATTGAACAGATGATCCATTCATTCTTATGTTTAATAATTCTATTCATTCTATCTCTCAACAATCAATATTTATATATCTATGTTCATTTATTCGATTTGACCGATGTCATCAATAATGAAAAGAATAATAAGACATTTTTCAATAGTCGAACTCGTCAATGACTAAACAAATATTGTTATCTTTCTTTAATATATCATATGAACAATTTTCAATCTGTTCATATCATATCTAATGAACTTTCGATTCATTTTTTTCTTCATATTTTTTCTAATATTTCTAAATAGAACAGAATATTTCATATAACAGAAAATGGACTTTTGATGAAACAATTCACTTTTAATATATGAATGTTTATATTTTCCTCATGGATGTATTATTTTAAGAATAAATATTTGAATGTATTGCAAATATTTCATGAAAAGAAATTTCTATTATTCCATCAGTAAAATTCTATTTCAATGATTTAGATTTATTTTAGATTTTAGAAATTGTATGGTGATCAAATTTCACATGAAATTTTTTGTTAATAAACGTTTTATTGTATATAATTGATTAACTTTTTTATAATGAATTTTATAAATCCTCAACTAAAGATTTAAAGTAAAAGATTTGAACAAGATTTTCATACTTCTGCAAATGAACTATGTATGATTAAGGCATTGGAGATGCTCAAAAACATTGATTTCAATAAATAGAATCATCTGATTTCGTATCAATGAACTTTCCACAACTGAAATCAGCATCATATAAAACAACTTGAGAATAGATAAAAACAATGATAATAATATCAAATTTGTTTGAACTATCTCAAGCAGGATTTGCTCATATTCAAGTAACGGATGTCAAATATCGATAAACATTATATGAAAGAAGTTTTAGTGATTGATTCATTTTGATTATTCTTTCACTTGCTTTGAAAAGAAACAGATTATTCAAACGAAATTCTTTTTCTTTTGTTTATCTTTTTACATGAAACTACATGAAATGTAGTATTCAATGTATGTTCTGATGGAAAAGTGAACTTAACTTCTGCTGTCATTTTTGTTTCAAAAGAAAATATAAACAAAACAGAATCGAAAACCAAATAGAAAAGAGCAAACGTCAAGACTTCAGTGACAGAGACCTCAAATTTTCTGGAGGCTTCGAAAAGCTTCAAAAGACTTGAACAGACTTGATGAAATTTCAGCAGGCTTTCGAGACTTCATCAGATTTCAAGAAACTCCAGTTCACATGAGTATTCAAGAAACCCTAAAAATCACACGTAGGATATCTTAGGTCTGGATTCGAGTATTTCTTGAAACGATTCGCTCCAAAACACTTTCCAAAGCAGTTCAACAACTTTCCAAGTAGAACTCGACGAGCTCTATCCAACCACACCATTCATTTTTTCCTAACCCGCCCCCTCTCAAACCCAGAAAATCCATAAATACCATCAAAAAACGTATAAAATGCAACAATTCCCGAAAAACTCGTCACGATTCGCCCCTGAGTGCTTTCCAACTAAACCAGTAAGTTTCCAGATATATCTTGACGTGCTCTATCCAACGAACACCTTTGGAATTAAATACGGTGCGTCTTTCCCCCCAAAATCGCCACTTTCGGGCCTCATTCCTATATATGTACAGAAACGGTTGTCACGATTCGCTCAGAAGCACTTTCCAAGTATATAAACCAACTTTTCAAGTAGATCTCGACGAGCTCTATCGAATGGACACCTTTGGAGCTCGATTCGATGCTTCTTTTGCCTCAAAATGGCCATTTCTGGGCCCGATTCCGAGATTTCTGCGGAAATGCCTGTGAGAATTCGCCTAGGAGTACTTTCCAAGTATACCATATAACTTTCCAAGTAGATCTTGACGAGTTCTATCGAATAGGCAACTTTGAAGCTAGATTCGATGCACCCATCACTTAGGCGTCGGCCAACGATGCCAGAAACAGGGCTTTTCTTCCGGAAAACCTGTCATGATTCGTGCAGGATCAGATTCCAACAAAACCTACACTAATTCCTAGTAGGGCTCATGCGAGCTTTTTCAATTGCGTACGGTGTTCTATAGTTAACTCTTAAGATCTACTTGGAAAGTTAGTTGCTACGCTTGGAAACTACTTCTGAGCGAATCGTACAGGCTTTTCGGCAGAAATCTAGTAAACGGGGCGGAGAAATGGCCGTTTTCAGGTCAGGGAAGCATCGAATCAAGCTTCAAAGGTGTCCATTCGATAGAACACGTCGAGATCTACTTGGAAAACTCATCGACATACTTGGAAAGTGCTACTAGGCGAATCGTCACAAGTCTTTCGCCAAAAAACTAAGAATCGGGGCCGAGAAAACGCCATTTCAGGAAGACAGAAGCATCCAATCAAACTCCAAAGGTACCCATTCGATAGACCTCGTCGAGATCTACTTGGAAAGTTGGTTCATATACTTGGAAAGTACTCCTAGGCGAGTCCTCATAGGATTTTCGATAGAAACCTAGGAATTGGGACACAGAAATGGCCATTTGAGGGGAAAACAAGCATCCTATCGAGCTCCAAATGTGTCCATTCGATATAGCTCGTCGAGGTCTACTTGGAAAGTTGGTTGATATACTTGCAAAATACTGCTGCACCAATCCTGATAGATTTTTCGATAGAAATCTAGGAATCGGGACGTAGAAATGGCCATTTTAGACGCAAAAAGGCATCTAATTGAGCTCCAAAGGTATCCATTCGATAGAGCGCGTCAAGATCTACTTGGAAAGTTTGTTCATCTACTTTGAAAGTACTGCTGGACCAATCCTGATAGGTTTTTCGACAGAAATATAGGAATCGGGATCCAGAAATGGCCATTTGAGGGAGAAACAAGCATTCAATCGAGCTCCAAATGTGTCCATTCGATAGAGCTCGTCGAGATCTACTTGGAAAGCTGGTTGAAATACTTAGAAAGTACCCCTGGGCGAATCCTCATAGGTTTTTCCACGGAAATATAGGAATCGGGACCCAGAAATGGCCATTATAGAGGCAAACCGGCATTGAATTGAGCTCCAAAGGCGTCCATTCAATAGAGCTCGTCGAGATCTACTTGGGAAGTGGGTTCATAAACTTGGAATGTACTCTTGGACGTATCCTTAGAAGTTTTTCGATAGAAATCAAGGAATCGGGACCCAGAAGTTGCCATTTGAGAGGGAAAGAAGCATCCTATCGAGCTGTAAATGTGTTCATTCGATAGAGCTCGTCGAGGTCTACTTGGAAAGTTAGTTGATATACTTGGAAAGTGCTTCTAGGCGAATCCTCGGAGGTTTTTCGGTAAAAATCATGGAATTGGGACCCAGAAATGGCCATTTCAGGAGGAAAGAAGCATCCTATCGAGCTCCAAAGGTGTCCATTTGATAGAGCTCGTCGAGTTCTACTTGGAAAGTTGTTGAACTGCTTTGGAAAGCGTTTTGGAGCGAATCGTTTCAAGAAATACTCGAATTCAGACCTAAGATATCCTACGTTATATAGCAGTAGTTCTTTTAGCAGGTTTTGTAGTACACTGTACCCTGAAGCTTTTCTACATACTAAGGCTCATATACCCTCACATATATATGGTGGTATTATTAGGAAAAAAAGTAGCTGGGCGAAAAATATTATAGAGTTAAATATTAGAATTAATTACCTTTCTAACCATATAAAATTCGTGGATGTTTTCTTATAATTTTCAAACGGGGCGGATTTTGCTAGCATATCCGCCCCCGTCCTTAGCATAAAAACTGTTTAGTTATAACCTTTGTTGAAAAAAGTTGAATAAGCGGGCCATCGTTTTTCTTAGATATTCTTACATTAGAAGATGCAGTTTTTGACGGGCTATCTTCTGGTATCATAAAATTTATGGCACTCTCCCATTTTTGAGTCAAGAAGTTCAAAATACTTGAAAGGAATCACACTTTTTATGACCGAAAAATCATCGTATTGACCCTCTTTCCCCCCAAAATGGTACTTATATGAAGTCAAAAATTATATGGCTCGATAGAAAAAGAAAAGCTCTTTCTTTTGGCAAGAGTCAATACTGAGGTAATTCTCAAAATAACGTATCAAATCTATGATATACTAAAAGGTACGAAAAATGACTTTTTTGCTTTAGCTTTATGAGAACTGTTATCATGACGCACGTTATAATTTAATAGGGTGGGTGTGGGTGTGGGTGTGGGTGTGGGTGGGTGTGGGTGTGGGTGGGTGTGGATGTGGGTGTGGATGTGGGTGTGTGGGTGTGGGTGTGGGTGTGGGTGTGTGGGTGTGAGTGGGTGTGGATGTGGATGTGGCTGATTGTGGGTACTAGTGTTCTCTTTATTCACACCCGCACCCACACTCACACCCACACCCACACACGCACACCCCACACCCATACCCACACACGTACATACCACACCCATACCGTACACCCACACCCACACCCCAACTTCTGTTAGATCTCTTGCTTTTATTTATTCAGGTTATTTATTATTTTAAAATAAATAAATTATTTTTTTTTATTTATAGATGAAGGTGGACATGAATTTCCATGTGGTTCTCATGATCAAATAATATTAATATGGACATATGATCAAAATAAAAATAGTGTTCAATCATTAATTACTTGTAAAGGACATCAAGGAACAATTGAAACATTAGCTGCACAAAAAACATTGTTTTGTTCTGGTTCTTTTGATAAAACAATTAAATTATGGGGACTAGGTTTTTTAATTTTATATAAATAATATATATTTTATTTATTCTTTATTTTTTATTTAATCAGATGATGAAGGAGAAGATAAATCATCAACAATGGTGATTATTGAATTGTTTATTAAATAAATTATTGAAAATAAAATAGGAATGTCGATTGACAATAAATGCTCATAATGAAAATATCTCATCAATAGCTTGGATGTCTTCAAATGAACTTGTTTCTGCTCCATGAGATCAAACAATTAAATTATGGAATATGGATACAATACAAACAGCACAAACTTTTGTTTGTTTTTCTTTCTTTTTAATACTATAGATTATGTGTTTCTTCCTTTTTTTAGACATGTGGAAAAGCTGTTCTCTCACTTGATATATCACCAGTTAATAGTTTATTAATATGTGGTTTTACTGATCGATTTATTCGTCTTTATGATACACGTCTTCAAGGTTTGATAAACTTTTATCATTCGAATTCAAAACAAAATTTTCTTGTTTCAGAAGGATATGTTCTTCAATCAACATATTCATCACATAGTCAATGGGTATCAAGTGTTATGTGGTCAAGCAATTCCGAATATTTATTTGTATCTGGTTCATATGATTCATTAGTTAAATTATGGGATACACGTTCATTAAAAGCTTCTCTTTATGATATTCAAGGACATGAAGATCGTGTTTTATGTATTGATTGGTCGATTGATCAATTAATTCTCTCAGAAGGAACTGATAATTCATCGAAAATGTTTTCATTTAAAGGAAAAAAATAGATTGTTTTTTTATTATTATGCAATAGAAATTGTTACCGCTTTTCTTCATCATCATTTCGAATAAACTGTTAACAATGTGATCGACAAAGATCATTATGTCTCAATTAACTTCAATTTGACATGTATCGGGAAAGAAATCGTAACGCGTCATCTCTGGTATTGAAAGTTCGAAATTGTCAATCCGAAAATCTTTTATTTGCATGTATATAGTCAGTCAATTCGACCCATTTAACTTACTAAGTACTTTACCGAAATTTCTCAATATATATGCGATTGACAATAATGTATTAATTATTTGTTAGATAGCAAAATAATTGATTTTCTATTCTTTGTAATTTTGTACATAGAGAGCGAGGAAAAAGGAAATATTTATAACACCATCGCGTAAGGGTGTGGGTGTGGGTGTGGGGTGGAGGGTGTAGGATCTTCTAAATGGCACCCACACCCACACCCACACCCCACACCCACACCCACACCCACACCCCACACCCACACCCACACCCACAGCCACACCCCAAAATTAAAAAAATAAAATATCCACGGTATTTTTTACTCTTACACTCATTTTCATCAAGAAGCTTGTGAATATGAATGTATGAGTACGAAAATTATTTCAAAAAAAGCATTATTTTTACTTTCATGAATGGGGGAACTGCTATGGAAATAATGGTCAATTCCCATTTCCCTGAGGAATTATCATAGCAACACTGACAATTCCTCTGCAAATTAGGAATTCCTATTTCTCAGTCCTTGGACACTGCTGTATCTTCTTCACTTCGCCACTGATGTACCAATTTGCGTGATTCCTCACATGTAATCCAAAATTGACGTCTTTCATCTGATAATGGGGCAAAATATTCATCTTTAGTTTGAGCCCATTTCAAAATAATGTATGGTCGTTGTTTTTGAACACGAGTAAAAAATCGTTTCTTCAACTCCAAACATTTGTCTTGTAGAATACCAATAATAACTTCAATACCCGCATTGACAAGTTTTTCAATACCTTTACCATTGACTAATTCAAAGGGATCACGACAACCAATGACCACTTTTGGAATTTTATGCTTGATAAGCAAATCGGCACAGGGTGGCGTGTTACCAAAATGTGCACAAGGCTCCAATGAAACGTAAATTGTCGATTGTTTGAAAAGTTCTGCGGCCATTATCGCATCATTATTACAATTTTGAATAACGTCATCGACAGCATTGACTTCAGCATGTGCTTCCCCGTACCGTTGATGATATCCTTCACCAATAATTTGATTAAGATGGACAATAACTGATCCTACCATTGGATTCGGACTTACAAAGCCTTTACCCAAAACAGCAAGTTCCAAACAACGCTGTATGTATTTGTTATGATCAGCAGTTATTTCTGACATTCAGTAATATTTAGGTCTACGTCTAAAAAGCATATGATATTGATTGATAAAGGAGTTTAATTACTTTGAAGACTGAAAATCCGTATCTATTGGACGAAAATCTTGTTTCAGCTAGTTTATTTTTAATATGTCTTTCATATAATGATACATTTATACAAATGTAATAATATATTCTGACTATACTTGAAAATTTTCTATTAGTCTGGACTTATATAAACATGGATTTTTGTTATTTCCTGAAAAATATTTTTCATATTGTGTTCTACTTTTATTCTTACGTTGCCATTGATTGTAGTCTAGATCTCTTCAATTATACCAAGTGTGTTTCTCTATATATATACTGTCTTTTTCAATGATAGACTCTCAATAGGATTGAGATTCATCATTACTGAGGGCGTGGGTGTGGGTATGAATATCCCTATCGAAAATCTACGATCTTTATGTAGAAAAATAGGATTTGTTGCATCCCTATGTTGATAAGAGAACCAAAGATAGCTTTGTTCTTTAAGCTAATAATATCATGATCCAATCAATTATATATAGCGGCACAAAGAGAAAAAAAATCTTTTTGCTCGTTTCTTTTTTTCAATCAATAGAACTAAGAGAGTGAAAGATGGCACACATAGTCATGTGATTGAGATTGATAAATCAAATGAAAAGTTCGTAAAAGCATTGAAAAGTATTTATTTGGAAATAAATTCTTTACTGAGATAAAAATCAGATTTATTAAAGAAATATGTAGAATAAACAATGAAATATTTTTATCGATTTAATTCGTCAAGATTCTGTTATTCATAAAATAATTAATGAACAAAGAACTAATTAGAGATTTTCGCATCAATCCTTCACTCAAATGGAATGAGCAAGGCGTGAAATCAATAGAGTTCGACGAGTTCTATCTGGAGATAGGGATAGTTTTGATGGAGAGTGATCATGGACGAGTCGTGACGGTTTTTTTTCTTGAATTACAAAGTTTTTTCAATATTCTGTTTTGTAATAATTATAATTTTTCTACAGAATGAAAGCGTTATTATTGAAAAAAACGGCTAATGGATCGGATAGGTCTCATCAAGTTCTGCTTGAAGAGAAAGTGATCTCGATTGGAAAGAACTTTATGGTGAATCCATTAAGGAAGTGTTTAAATCCTCACCTAGGTTAACCTATGTTTTTATTTTCAACTATTCATTCCTCAAATAGGATTGAATATTTACCTAAACACATAAACAATAACTCGTTCAATTTCATCCTCTAAATTTAAATAAGAATATTCTTCTACATCAAGATACATTTGTTTTTTTCAGATTGATTGTAAGAATCAATGAAACAAAAGAGACGTCTAACAATTTTTATAACGAATTGATTGTAATTTTATATTATGAAGACATATGCATTATAGTATAAACGTAGAATTGAATCTTTTTTTTTTTACTGAATAAAATACATTCATCTATCCAAAAATATCATTTTTTTTTGTAATAAGTACAACTTACCGTTTATTTTTTTTTATAGCATTTCTCAAATTTCTTGAGTAATTTTTGTATTCATTTATTTTGACTAATGTTGTACGATTCTCAAAACACGTTTTTGTTTTCAATTTATTTTCTATAAATGAAACGTTTATGTCTGTCATGTATATAAAAACTATGAAATTAAATTAATATATCTGCCTCTCAAACTGATTGTATCTCTTCAATTTTTCATTTTATGCATCCTTATCTTTTATTGTCAGTATTATACTTGAATAAAATAAGTATCTTAATTAGGGAAAGATGCATGATTTCAGCAACTTGTTTTTTTTTCAATTGCTTGAAACATGAAACAATTCTTTATTTTTATGTAAAGAATTTTAGTAATGAAAATGTGAATGAAAAGTTTTTGTCGGCATACATCATACAACCGACATTTGGCTAATTTATTGGGATTGTTTATTTACTAGTACTATCATTTAACGTTTCAATCGGTTTTAAATTGATGGTCTATTTTAAAAGTAGATCTACTTGATTGAAAATCAAGCTCTTAGCCAAATATAATACTAAGGTAAATCTGTACAAGTCATAAAAAGATTTTGAAAGAAAAAAAAACAAATATCCTACAAAAATTACTTACGTCTTGCATCAATAAACAATGCATTGCCTTAGCTGTTTATGCAAGTAATACACATCAACATGCTTGATACTTTTTTTTTGCGTTCTGTATGATCTATCTTACTCGTGTGATTGTATTATGTATTGATGTCGATTTACATTCAAACAAATCGACAAAAAAAACAAACGATTATCGGTTGTTTCAATCAAGCATGGGAATATGTTCTATAAATCTTTTTAATGGTGAAAAAAAAGAATTGAATAAACAGCATGAACATGTCAAGAACGTTTATTCAGTTAGAACAATAGATCAACAGCAAGTTAGATTTGAAGTTGAAACAATGATGCCGACTATTCACGGTATATTTCGAACAAGAGTATATTTAGATTTGGCAGAGACTCCGATACAACATATTGTTATGATTTCTACTTTCTGTGATTATCGTTCGTCTTCCAACCTCGCGCCGTATGTTCGTATACATTCGGAGTGTTTGACGGGTGAAATATTCGGTTCCCTCAAATGTGATTGTGGTCCACAACTCAATGCTGCTCTTGACAAAATCAATGAAGTCGGTGGTTTGCTCAGCTATCTTCGAGGTCACGAAGGCCGAAGCATTGGTCTGGTCAATAAACTTCGAGCGTACAAGTTACAGGATAAAAGTGGTTTTGATACGGTCGACGCCAATGTAGCACTTGGATTTCCGGCTGATAATCGCAAGTACTATGCAGCTGCAGCTATTCTAAATGATCTCGGCATTGTGTCTTTTCGTCTTCTCACCAATAATCCAGATAAAGTGAGCCAATTAGAACAATATGGTATCATTGTTGTTGAACGGATACCACTTATTGTCGGGGAAAATCAATTTAACAAGTTTTATTTTGACACAAAACGTGATCGCATGAACCATATACTTCCAAAAGTAAAATCAACCTAGAAAAAATCTTCATTTTCTTTTAATACTTTGAGCTTTTTGTAATAAATCAGTGATCCATACATTATTTTTTTTTATCTTTTCAACCAATAGACCAAATAAGCTATGAAGAAAATGTGTTTAATAGTGACGCAAAAAAAAATTATCTTACCATGGTTCACTTCCGTCACATTTATTTCACATCTGCCTAATTGTCGAAGTTTGTTCTTTGAGTTAATATGACAACGGCCTTTCTCTAAAATGACGTGGCGATGAAATCAGCAGTTTACGATAAAAGTCTCACTCCAATTATGTTAGGGGTGATTTCCTTGATGACGACATCAGAACAAACTAGGGTCTCATTTAGTGACTTCCTAATGAAATTCGAGCATGAATAGTGACTTTTTTAGAAAAATAAAAAATTCACGTTTTCTGGGCGCATTAAGTAGGACTTTCGCTTAAGGCTACCGAACTCCCTGATTTGTCCAAGAAAATCCCGCTTTTTTAATTTTTCTTCTGGTGAAAAAAATCTCCTGGTGCGACGAACTGTTTTTCAAGGTTTTCAACTAGTTTCTGTTGGTTCTTATTGTTATGTTCATCTCGACTTTTAGCGACATGTTTAATCAATAAGAAATCCGGTCTAACATCACGTTATAATGTTAGATTCTACAAAGAACAGAAGAAATGTCTGTTAATCATATGCAACCAGTTCTGGGCTTATCTTCTTAATAATGACAATATACATCATTTACAAAAATTAGTTCAATTTGTTTTTTTTTCTTTTATGCCGGTCTCAAACGCCTTTTGTCGATCTATTATTAGTCACGCGAAATTTTTGTGGAATAATAGCCGAAACAATATAAAAGATGATCTTTTTGTTTTTACTGAATTAAAAATTAAGATGAAGACTTATTTCAATTGTACAGAATATTATCAATATCTCTTACATAAACCAAATTTGTTAAAACAAATCTGTTCATCAGAGAAATACTCTCATGTTGCAAAAGTGTCATGCATGGTATAGTAAATAGTTTATTTTGCTTTGGATCATATCAATTTATAAGTAAACTTTTTTTTATTTGGTTCCTATATTTTCAAGAGCGTATATGAAAATATTAATAATATGAAATATGTGTGAACGAATTTTTTTTTTCAATATCGTTTGTCAGTAAAATTTACTATAACTGCTTGATGAGAAGGAAATAATGAGCGCTTGTGCAAACGAAAATGCAAGCTTCCCTCTAGAAAACATCAATGAGTGCTTTCTGGGTTTTTTTGCGAAAATCTTCTGATTTCGAAAATATCTGTTTAGTAACTCTGCTCTCACTGGGACTTTTGGAGATCGTATTGAGTTCTATGTTATGTACAGGCTCCACGAAAGTGGAGGTGTACACCCTCCCAATAATTAAAAATTATTCATTCGTAGCCAACAAAATCGATAAATTTTTTTGGCATTTTTTGCTTGAAAATTCTGAAAGGGTGGGTGTGTGTGAATGATAAAAATACCCAACCCACACCCACACCCACACTCACACCCACACCCACACCCACACCACTCACACCCACACCTACACCCACGCCTACACCCACACCCTCCAAGAAAATCGCTTCGTGAGAATACAAACTTCGTTTTCTTAGTTCGACAATGTGTTTGTTTCGAAATAAATTTGAACTATTGTTCAAAATTTCATCTTTTTTATTGAATGATTTACGTTGGACAAATCAGCCGAGCTACGATGCATAGAAAGCAATCAGACATACAAATGAATCATAAAAAGTTCAAGATCATTCGATAGCGAACATAGTGAACCAATCAGAGCGTTAGAAGAATATAAACAGATATATTTTCTTTCTCTTAGCGTTGATGACCTCCGTTGATTATTCTCTCGTGAAAATTGCCGATTAGCAGGTCATAGCAGCATGTTTGACGGACATTGTTTAATTCAATGATAAATAGCAACATTCGCTGAACAAACATGAAAAATATGTCGGATTATCTGAGTGCATTACCTGTCGAATTAATTGATAAGATTTTTGACAATATTTCTACTTTTGATATTCTATCTTCTGTGTCTTTTGTTAACAAACGACTTCATTCCATATTCCTCTTCTATTCTCGTTTTCAAATCAACTTCAATTCGATAGTCAAGAAGAAGAATCAATTCGATTTATTTTGTAATCAATTGTCGAATTTTGCATCTCGTATTGTCTCATTAACATTTGACGATGATATATTAGCAAATCATAAGATTCAGGTTTTTTTACGTTCAATTACTTCCAATGACACGTTTCTAAATTTGCATTCGATCAGTCTCCGTTACATCAACGCAAGTACATGGAACTTGATTAGAATTCGTCTTCCATTGTTCGTATCGTTAAGATCAATGTCCATCGCTTCTGTTTGTTATGATGAAAGTCCGACAATTCCCTTGATATCACTCATTTTCAATGATCTCCTATTCGGTGTTCGATCGCTCACACATCTTTATCTCAATACATCGCCTGGTTTCTCGGCGGGTATGATAAAAATTGTGTCTGCATCATCAATACAAACATCGAATATTGAATCTCTCACACTAGCAAGTAGTCAAATTAACTTGTATGAACTTTTTCCAGTGGTACCGATGTTAAGTAAACTCAATGTATTAGTTAATCAAATTTTTCATCATGACATACTTCTTCAATCTCCTATGAATTTACGACAATTATCAATTAAAATCAAACATTCAACCATGCTAGAAATGAAACGTTTACTCTCACCGATGACTTGTCTCACACATCTTACTCTTCATATCGATTATGTTCGCAATGATATGACAGATGGCAATGCTTGGATACCATTATTAAAGAAATTAGTTGTATTCAAGTTCTTATTTTACGTTTCTAGCTTAGAAAAGATCAATCTTGATTCATTTCGCACTCAATTCTGGCTCGTAGAGAAGAAATGGTATGTTACCTATGATCGATGGAGTGAATCTTATTCATCACTTCTCTATACAAATCCATACTGTGGTCAATATTGGACTCGATCTTCACATATAACGGGAAGACTTGTGACAGAATCAACTGGATTGGAGCCTACGACATGTCCACATGTCAACTGTCTCTTTATACAAAATATATCACAAATCAACGATGTACCTTGGACTCGATTCACTCGTCTTGATTACTTAGCTCTTGAACAAAATCTGAATACTGTATTCGAACACATTGCTACACGTCTTGATTTATCGTATATAACTAATTTTTCTTTTAATCAATCGGATATTGAAACACCAAGTAATGACTTTGTACGAATACTCCATAGTTTACCGCAACTACGCTCACTCAGGTTACCCGTATCGATTCTCCACGTCCTTTTTGATCGTAAATGGTCTAAAATTATCGATCTCGATATTATGAGTAATTATCGATTTCCATCAGAGCCATTAATATCCATCCAGATTGATTCATTTTGGCGTTCGTTTACTCGTTTGGAAACAATGATATTTTGTCGTGAATGTATTCAAGATGTGGCACGATTATTCGATAACAGAGCAATGACACTATCAATTGTAATGATTCGTCACTTTGGTAATCTGAATGATTGTGATCCTCAATTGATCACACGTGAATGGCTTGAGAAGAACACAAAATTGCGTCAATTCGACTATTTTTGTAATGATATACGAATTGTTTCCATGTGGATCTAGATTCATGTTGAGTTTCAAATGTAAAGAAAGCTTGAAAATTTTCAAATAATTCCTCTTCTGATGTGTTTTCTTTGAAGAACAAATAAATATACATTCGCACTTTTTCTAGCATATTTCAGACGTGAGCAAGCTAAGTTATTGCTCAAAGCATCCTAGGTATAAAATGTAGTTCTCTCATCATCACATTTTTGGCACTGGAATACAATAGAAGCAAAACTTTTCATAGATGAATCGATAGAGAGTTTTTCTTTATGCGACATATATTGAACGAACTTGACAAATGAATCTTGTTGTATCATTTGATAGTGAATATTCTGATATAAGCGATCTTTTTTTCCATTCTAACACCTTTCAGTCGTGTTTTTAGACGTCGAAGTCGAATGGTGTTCACAAATGACTAGAATCTATTGAATGGCAGATCTTCGAATATCAAAACAAAGAATAATACTGTTCGAGATCGACTTGATTTCTTCACCAAGTTAAACGATCCAACAAATAATCGGTCGACGTTCAATGCTGATCGAAGCAATGTGAGATCAACGACTTGATCCGATCAGTTCCGAATACAGAAGAATCGAAGAGATCCGACCTTTTCATCCATTCAGAATGATTTGATAGATCGGAACATTTTTTAAAGAGCTATCTGAACAAACAGAACACGCCTCGATTTTTTTTATTAGAAATCTTTCTTGATTTTCTTTTCAATCACATGTCTCTCATTAGTATTATTGATCAGTTGATGAACAAACTTTCTTCACTAGTTGAGTTGTTATCTTTGTTAGAAATGAATTTCCAAAGAAAAAAGTGAAGAGAGTGGATTTACTTGGGATCGAATAGTCTCTTGAAGTGATTAATTTTATTTGTTTTCCTTTCTTTTCTGTTTTTCTTGAAATGTTCTCTAGCGAAATCGAATGTTAATCGCTAATCTTGCCAACGAATACTCATTGGATAACAAACAAATTGATTTTCATCATCGACATTAAAGAGAAGCAACAGAATGTTTTCTTTTGTAACAAACATCTTGATAGCGTTCAGGATAATTCTGGCATCGTAGAACTCGAGGAGAAGAAAAACGCAAAGAACACACTGACTACTGTTTCATGTTTTGTAGCATCAAATCAAATTGAACACATAAGAGAAGGAAGTACTCGAGATCCAACCACCAGTTTTGCGGTTTCAAACGTAAAGAGTAGAAATCAAAAATTATTGTTGATGTTTCACGTACTTCTTCGCCATGTCAACCAATGCAGAATCAGGTTGGCAGTGACACGAGATTGGTTAAGATGAGACGACAACAGAGAATTGAATGAATTGTACAGACTGTGTCAAATCTAGTGCATTTATATATGCCTCATCGTTCTACGATTGTGAGTTCAGGTTCTCATGCACAAAATGAAGTTATCGACGCATGGAAAACGAACGTATTGATCATCTGGATGAAACACATATCAATCTGTGCCTGAGAACATAATTCGCTCAACTATCTATTTTAATCTCTCTCTCTCAAGCACATTGACTGAACGAACCACTGCACGTGATAGGAATATATTAGCTCGAAAATCAGATGAGAGATATGAACGAATTACCATCCTTTATCATCAGCAATACCAGATGTTGATAATTGTGAACTATTTTAACGACAGTTTTTGTATTCTTGTTCAGAAGAGTTTCAAATACGAAATGCATGCGTGAAAGATCTGACAGGTTTTTGTATCGGAGAGAGTACTCATGTTCCGAGCAGACTTAGGCAAATGGAATCTTTGAATAGATTTACTTTGTCGAAATGATAGTATTTGACATTTTCGAGATAATACGCAAATGATGATGGATAAATTAATCGAAATTTCATTTCGATTATCGATTGACAACATGGAAAATTAATCTGAAATATATTTTATTCGTTTCCACTTTAGGTGTGAACTTCATTCCTAATAGTATTACCTGAATCTGTGCTAAAATTGAATGCGTAATTTTCGCCTGAAAATTTCTTGCGTACTGAGGTGAGCTATAAGGTCAAGTTCATTGAACCAGATGATGCGTATATTTATTCATATCCAAAATCTCTTTTCATAAACAAGTACCGTCTAGTCTATGCCGCTGATTGTAAAACTCATCGTGTTGTTCGAATCAATAGCAGCGAATGTACTTCAACATCCAACCGATGTCGTTCTCGAACATTTAGAAAATTTTTCAAAATTTTTGAAAGTTTTATCAGCGTTTCCAAAGTAACAGTATCAGCAGTAAAAGATTTCACGATATACATTTCTTTAAATATTATTAAGTATCATAAAAATTCCTGAAATCTCTTTAAAAATTTTGAACACTTGAAAGCCAATAGACATCACGGTGTACCTAATTTGACAGTGAAATGATGCAAAATAATCAACAATACATCGGTTAAATTTGTTATGAAAAAAAGAAAAAAAAGAGGTCATTGGATGTTGATGGGAGAGTTAATTCAATCGATATGATCGGTAACCCACCAACTTCGGACCTCCGATGATATGTGTTCGAGAATCTGTATCTTATTTTGTACGAAAATGAGATGGTGCAATAATCGAAACGTTACGTATAGAGAATAGCTTGAAATACACAACGGTAACAGAAAGGAAGAAACACATCAATGATTCGCAATGGTGACTCATTTCAAAAAACTTGTGTGGCGCAATCACTGTGGGCTTCAAGTGTCATATATGAATGCCATAAAATTTGTATATTCGTTAATATATTATTATTTATAAAAAAATGAGTTGATAATAAGAAGAAAACTAATGCTATACGTACTTTTACAAAGATCACATGAGTGATCCAACAGAGACAAATACGAGTGGTTTCTTGAGGGTGTGGGTGTAGATAAGTGGGAATATTTGACTCATATCCACACCCATACTCACACCCAACTGAAACTGATATCTTAACTTATTACTAAAGTTTCAATTCGCTGAACCTGAAAAATCAAAAACACTGGTCGACCTGGTTTCTCCTGCAGGCCAGGCCAGGCCAGGCTGCAAGCTGACTTTCGAATTTCAACCTGACCTACCAGGCTGACAAAAGTGGCCTTTTGTCAGCTGTGACCCACATCCACACACACACACCCTATTTCAATTGCTAAAACTTTTTATCTATATATCATATAACTCGTCTATTCATTCAGAGAACTACCAAGTTGAAGTTCTAAGAAAGAATATTGATTTTCTTGCATCAATGAAATTCAATAGTGACTCCGATATATTTAAGTAAAAGAGTCAATTTCTGAATAAATTCATCAGCATTTACTTCTGGGTGGGGTGTGGGTGTGGGTGTGAGTGGGTGTGGGTGTGGGTGTGGGTGGCTGGGTGTGGGTGTGGGTGTGGGTGTGGGTGTGGGTGTGGGTG